CGCATCCTTCACATAATCATTTGATAATCATAATGGCATAATAAATAATTTTCATTTTTAAATGACTGACTTATATATTTAGTTTGACTTACGTACGTGAATCAATTTACGAAAACCATTGTTGCTCGTATTAGTTATGAAAAACACAAGAAAGTGTGTCATTTGAGATTTAATATAAAACATCAGACGTCTCGTTTTGTTAACTCTTAGTGATTATTATTGAAATTCACAAAAGCGAAGTCATCTTGTTAGGATGTACAGTCCTTTAACGTTTCAGTAATTTTTGAAGGGTAAAGCAATAAACACAAGAACAGCAACTTATGCCAGACGTGCGTTGGAGGACCACACCTCATTTTCTTATTTACATACCGACTTGCCCTACTGACATTACATAACTGTATTTAATACCAAACTTCGTACATGATTTTACGGCGTATTCTAATTAGACAATAGTAGTAATTATGCCTTCACCTAGAAAACACAACAGGAAATAGGAAGTAGCGCGAAATTAAAATTGTTTCATTATTTATGTATCGTTTTTGTGTCAAAGAAGTGAAAATTGCTGGTTTTCTTTTTGATTTGCTAAATAATACTGATTATTAAATATCTAAACGGAATAAGAAAGTTGTGGTTGTGCGTTCTTTCGTTTGATTTACTCTTTAGTGTTAAGGAGAAAAGAAAAATAAGAGTTTTATTGCTCTCACACGAATGACTCCCAAATATTAACATTTTAACCGTTACAGACGGCCGTGATGTAAAACCAAATTTTTTTAAATAACAGTAGTTTTTTAATTATTTCAAAAAATGGAAGTTGACGAGGTCACACTAAAAATCCGTTATTACGCGAATAAATTAGGAAATTAATAACGATGCATCCACTTGATAAGATCTTATCACTGAAGAGTGTGTATAGTACTACATCCTCTTAACAGTGTAAATCGTGCATAATTTCTGAACAATTATTTCTTAAACGAATTTAAAACGCAACCATGTGTTGTAATATAACCCCTATGGCGAAACGTAACCCCTATCCGGGAAGGACAATTATATTAACAACAATCTGACGATGTTGTTTTTATTACATGGATGTTAGCCAATGCTTTAATTTCTCGGATCTTGATGAAATTTAAATAATTTATTTATATTTATATTCGAATGGTAATGACTCGATGCGTATTCAGGTATAAATTTAAGTTTTATCTTATTGTCATAAAATTTTTAGTATATTTAGTTGCGACACTATAGTTTTTACAAATTCTATTGTCAACACGATAACTAATATTTTTATCTACTAATGTGATATATCAAATTTGAAGAATATCTATATTTTAAAGAAATAGTTCGATAGATCTTTGAAAAAATTCTCAAAGTTTTTAGGTTGAATGCGTGTGTACGCCACCGTGCCTGTTAACGTGATCCTGAACTTGACTTATGTAAATTCGATGTATTTTACAGACGCTTTTCACATTATTCTATGCGTGTACGTATTGTTAATGAACATATGGCATTACGATGTAACATGGGCGAGCTCATCCAAGTGCAAGGATTTATGTAATTGCTCGAAGATATCCAAGCACAATGAGGAAAGCTTTAATTATATGGAGAAAAATTGCTACTTACAATTTTCTTCCTAGATACCTACCTAAAGAGGTGTACTATTAGCAAAGACAACAATCTCTATCTTTGTTATTAATGATCTCGCAGATGGTATTATTTTAATAGTATTAGTGTAACGTTAGTATATCATTCGTGAGTTCTATAATTACTGTTAAATTATCTTTATAGATATGTAATGGCTGTGAGTTCACTAATGAAATTTTAAAAAGTGGGACAAAGAATCAATTCTCAGTCTCTCAGATAACTGTTTCTTGCGACGTATACTTAACTACTTATTTTCTGTGCGTCTTCCTTAGTAGATAAACGTAGTAAAAAAGTTGTCCGACTGATACAGACTGGATTTGGCAAAATGTAGAGCAGCTGTTAATTTTTTGATGCGGAATTAAATGAGTAGGATAATATACATTAAAAGACTTAATTTTTAATTTTTATAAAATTCTTTCATAGAATAAAGTAAATGATTCTGCTGCAAGTTAATTCATAAGGTGTAGGGTGAGTCAGCTGAAAGGGGACACCCCGAATAACATTTTTACTTGCGAATCTAAGGCAGTGGCATTTAGTGTATAAATAAAGACGAAAGAGTTCTATGTATGCATCACTTCATTAACATGAAAGCACGATAATTAAAAAAAAAAATCGCCACATTTTTTTTTAATGTAACTGAATTTTTAATTTAGTATAAAACTGAGAAAAGAATACTCTGTAAAGTTCAATATTTATTACTTTTGATATGTTTTATTTGCTTTTGAAAACAATATTTTCTTAATGCATTTTATGGGCTTGTTTTCTAAACATGTTTTTACGTTAAGCAGGTACGTAATGAAACATCTATTTTTGAGATTCATGAATTTATTTCATTTATTATGCTTTTTTGAACAATTCAGTCCAACATTTTACCACATTGTACGTGAAGAGGCACTAACTAGTGAACAACGTTAGTCATAAAATTAATAATTTGTTTTAAGAAAAAATTACGAATATTAAATAGTGAAGCTAAAAAAACGAAATTTAAATTATTTTTTTTTAATGAAAAAAAACCTACAAAATCCGATAACAAATTTAATTTCATTACTTTTGGCTGGTAAATAAAAAGTTATTCAAGGTATCCCCTTTTAGCTGATTCACACTATACATATAAAAAAAAGATATCGTTGTACTGAATCGACTTCTTTTGTCAGTTTTGGTGTATACAAGCACAAACCTTGAAATAGTGTAAAAAATGGCCATGAAATTATTAAAGTAGGTATAAATTAGGTAAACCAATGACTCTAAATATTGGAAAAAAAAATACTTTACTACACTAACTTCTTTAGAAATGGTTGTTTCTACGCTTTTAGTTCAGTGGTACAGCTGTTCGCCGGAAACAAGATCAGTTTCGATTGCGCCTTTCAAATAAATGATTTTTTTCTTATTTTATGGGTACTTTGATTGCAAAGATACTACTTCTTTTAAACAGTTAATTATCTCCATCCATCTTTATTAACAAAATTAGGAAATTAGTTTTGTTATTAGCAGTTATTTGATCTTTCAATGAAGAATAATTAGGACTCCTTACAAACTGTAATTTGATAAAAAAAAAATGAATCCATATAACCTTAATGATATAATGAACTATCTATGTAATAAGTATTCAGTTCTGATGACATAGAAATTATTACCGTTGACGGTAAATAAATGATATCTATAGGTAGATGCATTTGCATTGAAAAGCAGTCGGTCATGATACGGCTCATTTACTTTTTGTTAGTAACTGAAATTTTTAAAAATCGCCAAACTGTAAATTTCTTTTTACAGTAAAAGTAATATTTTATTTACGGAATATTAAATTTGGTTCCTCCAGTAGAAATCATACTATAAAAAGTAAATTTGTTCAGGTTTTAATTTTTGTATTCTTTCACTGTTCCCTTTTTTTCTTGTAATAAACTTTTCATTGTAGATCTAGGATTTTTTTGCCTTTTTATCGCTGTTACGTCAAACAATAATACAAATAATGGATTATATAAATTCATAAAAAATGGCCTTAAAATTACTATTATTTACCTGAAAAGCGTGTAAATACTTAGTTTTAATAAGGGTTTATTATTTGAAATCAGAAAAATTTAATGGAGATTCTTTTAATAATAGATAATACAACTTGTCCTGTAATGGATAACAAATATTTTCAATAAAGATTTCTTCAGTAATAAATATTCACGAATTAATACGGGGGAAAAATTTGAAGATTTAATTTACCTGTAAGAATTAAAGTTTTGTGGATAGCTTTTTAGTCCTGAAACTGGTGAGGTGATTTTCCAATAACAAAGAGAATAAAGTAGTTATATAGGACAGTAGCAAAAAAATGAGATGGTTTAGGAAAGATTTCATCAGAAAATCAAAATTAACGTCAAGGTAGTTAGGTGGTTATAAATTTGTATTTATGTTAGTTGAAGGTGATATTAAAAAAAATGGCAACCAAAATAGAAGGCGGGAATGCTGGAAATCATACTTCCAGGATTCTAGAAAATCAATGTTGACTGGACAATACGTCGAATATATTAAAATATGAATGGTTTAAATTTATAAAATTCAATTTTCCATCAAATTCCGGTTTGATGCGGTATGAGTTTAAAAAATTTCAAAGTTGCAAAGTGTTGGTTTGTTGCATTATGCAGTTTGCTTTTGTCAAGTTTAGATTAGTGTATTTTATCGTTGAAATGAGGTCATTGTTTCTAATAGTATATTGAAATTTTTGGTTTTGGTCTACACCTTTAATTACTGAACTGCTGCAACTTCGGTTGCACTTTCTTTACTTTTTATAGTAATCCTGGGATTTGTCAACCCAATTCTAAATGTCAAAATGGTAATGAAAGTCACGACTGCTAATTAAATTCACTTGGAACCAGTGAATGACTTATTTCTTGTCTCAGTTTAGATCTCACTTGCCTCCCTGAAGCGATCTTGTGTAATATTAATATTAGAGACTGCAGTTAGTGTGAATTAGGTGAACCTGTGGAGCAGCTTTGAATTCCCGTCAAGTGGGATCATGGTCGACGATTTAAAAATGGAATTGTTTAACGAAAGCTCATTTATAAAAGGACCACTAATGAATTTCATTAAGTCATTAAATGATTTATGCATTAAATATTCAACACAGCAGGGAAACAATAAACTTCATTTAAATGTGTTATTCACCGATGTGTCCGAAACTTGTATATAATAATAATATATTATCTGTAAATTAAACTTTTGATATCTTTTGGTAGTGTAATTGGCAATAATTTACAATGATATACAGTATTTTAATCTGTATTAAGCAAAAGTTGTAAAATTTGTCTACATCTGAAATTGAAAAATACTGAATTGTAGTAATGACGTATTACTAATTAATCTTACTTTTGTTTCAGATTACAACAGGCAAATATAGTTGCTACAAACAGAGGTAGGTAACTTAAAATCAAACCGTAGGTATCAAAGTGTCTGTGATTTTGTATTTTATAGAAGACTTCTAAGTAAATTTATCAAACAAGTCGTAAAAGTCTTATATATTACATTTTTCTGAATATTACTTTCTTTGTGTCTATCAATCCATGGGCAAAAGAACCTGTTGACTACACATCCAAAACAAAATTAAGTGTTAGTGACATATTTTACACTGTAAGAATTATTTTATGGAGAAGATAGCACGAGACTGTGGGTCTCACCAAAATTAATGGTATTGAGGAAGGTAAAGGGGAAATATCAGAAATGTATGTTTTTCTATTCTTATTAATTTAGCCGTTTACGGTTGTTATTCGTTTGATTTTTATTTTTTTATTTCGGTTAAATTGTTAAAACCTGTCAAACGACACTCAGTAAGATTTAATTGATAAAATGAAGTAGTTGGTTTTACTTTATTTTATAATTGGTATTATGTGTTGTACTGTTTTTGAGACTGTTTTACGTTATAATAAGCTATAGGAGCTAAAGTTTTTATAAATTCTCTGTCGCTACAATATTTCGTACGTACGGTTAAAAATATGAGACTAATGATAATGATATAATCTATGACTTTTTTAATATTCCTAGTTGTTTAGTTAGGATGATGATTTAGGAAAAAGGGAAATAGTGATGGATGTGATTTTAAACGGTCGTCCGCTCTGTTGACTTGATGATTTTAGTTGTATTTCCATAAATTTAGATTATGCAACTGTCAGTTGCTTGAACGAATTTCTACTTTCATTCCACTTGATAAAGTCATTCAAATATTCCTGTGTTCGCGACATTTTAACTTAAAAGTTTAATTTAACTTCATCTTTAAAAGATTTTGTTTTATTTTTTAATCTGTACTTGCACGTGAGGTTCAGCAGAGGGTATATTTTGCATCTTCTATAAACATCTGAGATTTGAAAAAAAAAAAAAATAGGAGTGAAGGAACGATTATCAGATAGATTTAAAAAATATATCACTTCATTTGAAAAGAATATTTTCTCTAGGAAAGTTTAATAATTTTAATTGTTTTGCTTAAACGTAACATGCATTTTTCGCTACAAATACTACTTTCGTGCTTGTTTACGACGTACATATTGTAAATATATATTTATTTATGTTGTATATCTATTTTATGTTCGTCGAATGTATTATTATAGTTATCGCCAAGTATAATTGAAATGTTTTCCTTTGATGTGGTCATGTATCTCTAATGTCGATACAACTGCTAATAAAATCGTGAATTCAAGTATTCAGCTCTAAATTATAATCGGTTGTGTAAGATGCTATGCGTAACCTATAATCCATTTGGTTTCTGTCTGGCAATCAAGAGTTCGTGACATAAACACCTGGTTCCATATACCGTTGTTTCTATAACGTTTCTTGCCGTATGGTGTCTGCACTTATTTATTACACATGTACATATCTGCACTGCTTTTCATTTGCTAATAATAATAAGATTACTCTTTTCCGGTAAATTTCGAATTTTTACGTTTTGGATTTATTTTAGTTTTTGTTTCGTGATGGAACTAATAAGTAGTACAAAAAAACATTTTGTGAATAGCTGTACTTTATCTAAAACTCTACAAATCGTATCGCGGAATCTATAACTAAAATGCTAATTAGAATTTACACAGCAATGTAGCACGCAATTAGGACGTGTGTGTGATTGTGGCCACACTTTTTTAGCTCAACGTTGTATTTAAACGGTTGATCTTATTTTAACAATGTTATTGGCCATAACAAACAAAAAATAAAATCTTACAAGTAATGACCTCATAGTAAGTAATATTAGAAATATATTATTTGAAAGTAAGAATTAATGCTAATATACGCAATTAAAACAAAATCATTTGATATGCGCCCTTCCACTAATATTCTTTTAATTTGTTGGAATACGATATTTACTTTGAGTGAAAATATTTATTTATGAAAGACTAACAGTGTGCACTATCCGAACGGGAAATGGGAGTTTGACTTTTGAGAAGAAAAACCCTGCCTGAGATTCCGTGCCCGCAACTGTACATGTTTGTAGGAAAAACTAGTAAAATTTTCCAGCAAAAATTGACAAAGGATTGAAAAAGTAATCAGATCTAGCTAGTTTCGGAAGATACTCAGTTCACAAGAAACATTAGCATAATTATACATGTCTCCAGGTATTATTTAGCTATTAATTAATTCAAGTTCCTTCTGCTACACTTTTTTTTCATCTTAATTTTCTTGTCTTTTCGTGAAGCACAGAACACGTAAATTAAAGGAAAACAATAAAAAACAGATGGAGAAATTTGCCAAAATAATTGTTCTTTAGGCTTGAAATTTCATAATCTGAAATGACTGTAAACGAATATTTGCAAGTTAACGGTTGGTTTCGTTTGTTATCTCGTCATGTCGTAACATTTACAGTAAATAAATTTATGAATTTTTGTATGAAAGTAAGAGATTTTAACTCCATACAAGCGTATTTTTAATAAAGTGAAGGTCGCATTCTAAGTAATTTGTACAAAAATGTAGTATTTACTTTTCGAATGATAACCAGTGGGGTGGGGTCATTTTAAAGAATGTATGATTTAATAGTTATAATTAAACTGTAAATATACACCATTAACAATGTAACAGTTAAACTTTGAGAAATGCATTTTATCTTCAAGTATAATATATGTCCGAGCTGCGACGAGAAAATTTTTCAAGTGAAAGGATACTTCGCGGGTTTTTCTTCCAAGAAGTCAAATAATGCTCTTTATTTTCCAAAAAATATATGTTTAACAATTTGGCAATTTCTTTCTTTAAAGCAGTCTGAAGATTCACATGATTTAAAAAAAAATCGAAATTATTGGTCGAGGGAGCCGTGGGAATTTGGGAAAACATAATGCTCTCTTAAGGTGCCTCAACCAATTAAGGCCCACGTAAGCTTTGAAAAATTATTAAAGAGGTAAATAGATGGTTAAAATATAATTTAATAACCTCTTGTCAAAGATTAACGATTGAATAATTAGTAGAGCATATATTTGTATACCATTTATTATCAAACAAAAAAATTATTATTGTTTATAAAAAATGATGCAAATGGGCCTACTTTGGATCACAGTGATCCAAATAGACTCCATGCGTAGAACCAAATAAAGCCCAACAAATTAAATCCATTTTAATTCAGCAAAGTAAGGTAACTTAACAAATTTTCTTTTTCAAATTAAAAAATCTTATGCCAAGCACACTTGGAATAAAATAAGTCACACTTTTGACAACAAGTAAGCTGACGAGAAGATTTTTAGATCTCGGAATCTTTTTCTTTTTTAATATATCGAGTTTCCGACAGCGAGGGAAGTATTGTCTAAACTCTTTAGACCAATTTTCATTACATCGATCAACGTGTGAGGCCAACGTTCTATAAAAACGTAAAACAACAATAAATAGTCCATTTCTAATATGAACATTGCGTAAGGTTACTAATAAGGTTTATTATTGAAAACATGAAAACAAATCATTTGTGTGCGTAACAATTTAACTAACGTATGTCACGAAAGTTTTGAGAAAATAGTAGCTAATTAGCAATAATTGTCGTAGGATCAAAGTGTCATGATAAACAAATCTTCCTTTAACATCAAATTTATAATGATCATTGTCAAAAGTCGAATAATTTTTGCCGCAATGTCTTGGACAGTTGCCTAAAAGTCAAATTTTAAACATTTTCCGTGATCAAAATATATCTTCTGCAACGATTTATCGAACAATATAATCTGAGTGTGAACAAGGAATGCCATGCTTAAATTTACCAAAAAGTGGCAGAGCAAAATCACTGTACACTGCAAATTTATTAATTGGAACTGCGAAGTTGAATTAAAAATCGACATTTTCACATAATCAGCGCCTACGATCCCGTCTGTTTCATTTTAGTTGGGCCACATTTACGCATACTATAAGGTAAAAACTAAACAAATTCTTTGTTATCGAACAATTATCAACGTAGATCATGTTCCAAGCAAGAGCCACAAATTTCAATATAGAACGTGTATACATCGACAATAAATAGTTTAACAATTAATGCTGCAGAAGGTCCATAGAAGGAAGCATTAAAGAAAAATAAAATGTAGTTTGCCTTTTTTATCACCGACGCTACCTCGGTTTCTTAATTTAGATCATTTGAGGTAATAACTAATAATGTTTAAATTGCACTGCGATACTACCAGTTACGTATTCCTCGTGAAGATTGTTTTTGATGAGACGCCAAACCGTGCATTGATCCAGATTTAGTGGTAGGAGCTGCTGAAGACTACACCAATGGAATAGGATTTTTAAATCTTGACATATAATATCGTGATTTAGGTGGGATCACTGTACAGTTTCAGGTCATTTGCATACATTAACATCTTGGAACGCTAGGGAGTTGCCAGTTGTTGACGCATAAAAAGTATAGTGAAATTTCCAAATCCGTTTGATATACAAGCTGATTCAACGTAAATGACGAATTTGACCTGTTTCGATAGGCACCCCAAAATACATTTTTCTTCTATTCCTTGATTCATAATAGAATTTCAAAAATATCATGAATCCAATTCAATTTTGAGCACTTGAAAATTATTTGCAGAAATGCCAAGATATTCGTTTACCAATATCGAGGAAACATTAATTTATAGAGAGTTAAAAAAATGCTCTGGTAGCAGCAAATTTGTACGCTAAGAGATATCCTGAACATAGATATCTAACAGATACAATTTTCAAAAGACTTGAAAGGAAATTACAAAACGATTGGTGTGAGTAAACGGAGACGTGTTTTAACCGCTACACATTTCGACAATCTTCTGTTTGTCGAATGTTAAAGGCTAACAAACTCCACCCGTATCATATGCAGTTAGTTCGTGAACTATAAGAGACTGACTTTAGCATTTTGCAATTTTGTTTGGGAACAGGGAATGTTCCCAATTGTATTAGGAACATTTTATTTAGTGATAAGGCCAAATTTTCCAACGATGGCTATGT